GCACTGGGCCATTCGGTCAATTCCTCTACACATTGCTCTGAAACGGCCGAAGTTGTGGCATCTAAAACATCTTGCAATCTTAGTTTTTAGCCTCACTCGACATCGCAAAAGTCCTACAATTAGGTGGCCTAACTTTTGCAGTGTATAGGCGTCTTTGTTCTTCATTTGACTACTGCCATCATGTTGCCTCCGTACGAAGGAAGCATTCCGATTACGTTCACCGAGTATGATGCGGTACCCATGGTGTTATCGACTGCCTGTATAACCTCCTCCTTCATTGTTTCCGAGTCCAGATCTCATACTTCTATTTTTTCGGTCTTGGGTAAGTGTATCACCTCTTTTTTAGCTCCTAACGCTTGAATGACCGCCTGCTTCAATCTCACTACTGCTTCTTCTTGTTTGGGGCCATTATCTATCTATATTATAAGGTATACAAACAATACATCTATAATAATTTTTATTATAAATGTCGACGTTTCATAAAGTGTAAATTCTATGGATAACATTTTTTTTTTCATATTTTATAAAATGCATTTTTAATTGCATATTTCTGGAGAGTTGCATAAATATTTCATATTCTAAAATTATAATTATAATAATAATAATGGTAACCATTATAATAATTTTATCTTTATTTATTAAAATATTTTTAAAAGCATTTTCACGTGTAAATACTTTCAATAAAATGTGTCCCGATTTGAGTTTACCTCCACAGCTAATATTAAATTGTTAGGGTACCTATATGAATTAAGTCAACAATTTATCATGGAAAGCATTTCAAATGTTTTATTAACGCTTTTGACCAGAACAAAGCGAAGTGTATTCAAAACACATATAGTTTATAATAAGTAATAGTAATATTAATGATAAATAATTAAAAAAAGTAACTTGATGTCATTACAGTACACTTTTAATGTTATAATAACAAAACTAGAGAAATCGAATATTACTTTAAACGGTGGCGGCTCGTGGTGTTAAAAATAGGTGGTGCACAAAATAAAAACTAATAAGCATTTACTATGATGTAACATGTTTTTACTGGTTTAAAATAATGTATCTTATTAATAATATGTAAGTCATTTATCATAACTTAATTATAATTTAAATTTAAATGTTTAGTTAAAAATTTGTCTTGTAGAATTATCTCTCTTTAGATTCAGCAAAAAGGTCTAGAACTTTATTATTAAAATCAGGAATATTCAAAAATTCATATTTATATGGATCGGACTGGGCTTGAAAAAATCGGCCCATGCAGGACTCTACTGCACACCGAGTTGCATTGTACAGTAGAACTCCAATTATCCGAACGCCAATCATCCGGACGTCCAATTAACCGGACGAGAAAAATACGGCACGTGCCGTTATTCATACACATGTTTCATAATCGTTTTTAGATTAGATAAAGAATAGGTACTACATATATATTATTATATTATTAATATCCATCATTCCAACGTAGGTATATTAAAAATTATCCATAATAAAATACATATACATATAACATTTTACAATATTGCCACACATACATAGATATCATTCTTAGTAAGTCAGTTGTTGTATAATCGTCGCACGGTATAGTGAATTGTCGTGTTACAATATCGTCAAACAGAAAACATGTAGTGCTTACTATGAAAGAAAAAGTAGATATCATTGCGCGGTTGAAAAAAGGCGAAACAGGCCGAGCATTGGCCGAAAAGTATGGTGTTGAAACATCCACTATTTCAGATGTGTATATAACTTTTGATATATCATATGTCAATCATTCGGATATTTGCTTATCCGGACCACCCTTGATATTAATTAGTCCGGATAATTGGAATTCTACTGTATTTAGCGACCGATCCCCCCCTCCGTCAACCATACGTATTTTATACAGGCGTACAGTGCTGTCACAGTGTTTCGCACCGATTGGTGTGTGCATTATGCATAACTGTTTTTACTTTAGGAGCAATAATATGTTCATGACAATAGTTCTTTACCGAAAAATATTGTTGAATAATTTTTTATTAATGGCACACCGATATTTTTAAAATACAATTTACAACGGTAAAGTTTCAAAAAAATAAAAATATTATTTTGATAAAATAACATGAGATACGCTTGCATCTGCGGACCTACGCACGATTCGCCACTGACTTTAAGAGATAGTCTATTGCTCACAGGAAATATTAAAAATAAGTTCGAAGAAGGAGGGTCAAGTATCCCTGGATTTCTCTAGATCTAAATGTAAACATTTTTGTCGAAAATCGTGAATTTCTAAGTTGAAAAAAATAGAAAATATAATCAAAAGCGAGGTAACGCAATGTGACCGAAACAAAGAACTATCAGTTGAAGATTTAACTAGTTTTAAATATGCACCAATTATTTCTTGTAACGTGAAAATAAGTTATTATAAATTCAAATTTATGCTTCAAAATAATGGTAGAAGTTTTTAATTAGAAAACATGAAAATGATTATTATTACATCATGCTAGTACTTATAACATAATAATAATTTAGTATAAATAGATAGTCTACTTTTAAACACATTTATTCTACATTTTTATAATAATAATTTAATATAATATTATATAATACATTTAAATATAATGTCGTAAAAAAATTTATTTTGCATTTTTTATAAATATTTGTACGTCTAGTTTATTAATTTGTAAAATAATGTTTACATGTTTTTGCATGTTTATAATATGAATCTGCATATTTTATAGATTTTTATTGTATATAAATCCAGGTCTTTGTAATCAGTATTTATTTTATATTAAAAATGAATGAAATTTAAGTTGCTGTATAAATCCATCTATACTAGTATATTTAGAATCCAAATAAACTACTTCTTTAATCACTGTAATTTAGAAAATTATTTGAAATAAAATTAATAATCTAAAATATAACATTTCAACAAAATTAAATTATTATATATATTTAATTTAACGTCTTCTAATATTATGTACCTGGGTATTAATTAATACATTACAAAAGTTAATAACCAATAATTATTTTAATTAGTTATAAATAAAAATATAAATAAAGTTCTTAGCTAAAAATAAATGTATACCAAAAAAGTTTTATTTAAATTAACTAAACTTTACGTGTACTTCCGATTTTCAAGATTATAAGTCTGGTAAAACTTTAATTGAATTGACTTGCCAACTTTATATACGAGTATCCAGGAACTAGTGACCCATAAACAAAGTTATAACTATTGATAAAATACTTTAAATATTTATAAGCCATTTTGTTATATGTAGTTTTTATTTCATGTTTAGTATATGATTTATTTTTTATTTTTTCGACTATCATTATTCATTGAATTTGAACAATAATCACATTTCTCACTTCCATCTGTCTGATAGTGCGAAAATATCATTAATTTTTTTAACGAAAAATTGACAAAACTTTACAGGATTGAAAACAAAATTTGTTCAGTAAGGCCAATTATGGATTATGGACTACTTATTATTTACCTCTGTTCGGTGTAATCAATGGTAAAATTATCCGAACGCTTTTAATCAACATGAATATTCTATGAAGTATAAGACTTTTGACGCGCGTTTTATGCTGAAAAAGTGCCAAGGACGTTTTATAAAATTAAAAACTAAAACTCGTGCCTCTAGAACGCATTATAATAGTTATTATACTACAGTAAAACTCGCTTAAAACGCTCCCGCTTAAGACGTTTTCCCGCATAAGACGCTATTTTCCGTCGGTCCCTAGACATTTCCTATACTAGTCAATTTAAAAACCATCTGTTAAGACGCTCGGTTTTTCTCTATCTTATTGGATAAAACGCTCTTTTGTTTAGCAGATTATGATAAATTTTAGTAGGTTTGTCGAAATAAAAATAGACATTTTACTTGTTTACGTGTTCTTATTGTTGAATCGTTTTATTTTATCACTATACATATTTTATCATCAGCTATTATTATTATCCAGTATCTACTCCTGCAATTACTGCTGGGTTGCAACACCTAACAGAAATTCGAAAAGTATTATCCTCTATAGAAAATGTTGAAGAAATGTTGGACTGTCTCAACAAAATAGAAAACTTTCTTGCTGAGACGCATTGTCAGCATCGTAAACAAACAGAAATATATCAATTTTTTAAATAAACAATAATAAAATATTTAATAATAATTTTTTTTTAATTAAATTCAGTAGCAAAAAATATATGTACACATGTATTTAATTACATATACATATATAATTTATTAGTGTCTATTTTGTTAAATCATGTTCAATAATAAAAAAATTAACTTTACATTTCAATCACTTCATTTTTTTCCAATCCCGCATAAGACACTTTCCCGCTTAAAACGTTCTAGAGAGCTGGTCCCTTAAAGAGCATCTTAAGCGAGTTTTACTGTATTATTATTATTTTATAATTATTCGGACGATAGGTAGGTTTTTTTGTAACTATCACAGTATAGATTTTCATCGCAGACTTTTATAATACTAAAATTATGTGCAGTACAACACACTTTGTGTAATATGAAATGTTAAGCATGTAGTACGAAATTAAAAAGTGTGTTGTGGTTTATTCTCTATATTATGGCATTTGTTTTTAATTTTACGGTTTTTTTTTCTATTAAATTATCTTACATATTTTTAAAACTCCAAGATGTATCATCGGCAAAATCTAGAATACCAACTGTTTTGACAGTGTTACTTATTACTGTTAACATTTGAAAAGGAAATATGACAAAATACTTAAGTGTACAGTACGAAAAATAATATATTTTAGCCTGTGATAATACCTGACTGAATGTAAAAGTCGGTGGTTTTCATCTATACCAACTAGATGTTACCTATTCTGTGATAGTGCTACGAACGACACAAACTAAAACAATGGACCGTTTTTACATTTCTAATGAATCAAATATATTTTACTTCGGTCGTCGAAAAATTCGTTTGCATACGTGTCACGTTATCTAGTGGCCTAAATTTATGAACACGATATCAAATTTCATTAGATATCTTTATTTACTGTACGCAATCGTTGTGGTGTTAACTCGTTATAGATAAAATAATGCCATGGAACACTGTTGGTTACAGTTATAGTTGGATATCATCTGTATGCGATGATAGTCGTCGGAACGAGTGTTTGCGGTATCCTTTTCATGATTATCAATAAAGTACAGTTTTCTATCGTTTTATTTGTTTATCCACAATCGTCATAAACTGGTAAACAACTAAATAATAATTTTCATGTCAACAAGGTTACTTCTATGTGCATTATTACCCGTTTTCGAGTTAGTGTGTGTATGTTTAAACTGTAAATCATATTCTAACGTGAATTATAGTAAAGATTCATCTCATCTCTCACACCGCCTATGGTAACGCAACGATGAATTAGATTAGTGAATATGAACCGCTTGCTGTTCACAGATTTTAGTGTACAAATATATGCCACATAATATTACCAAGCATGGACGATGTAGATGAAACAGATGAACGAGAAGAATTATTCTACAATAACGTTAGAGAAAAAATAGTATGTATATCTTTAAGGTAAATTATTAAAAACCCAATTAATTTTGTTTTTTAAATACATTTTAGATTTTTCTCTTGTTGTTCGTTTTATTACTCGCTTTCAGTTATGCTGTTATCAACCATTATAGAAAACGGGACAACATTATTGTTTCCGTTCAAGATGAAGATGATTTTACAGTTTATAAATATAGGTTTGTGTTTTAATTATGTTAAGAATAAAATATACTTATAAAAGTGATTTAAATTTTTTTTTTTTTTTGTTTTCAGCTTGTTACTCTGTACTATTTCATTGGCAGTTTCTATAGGTGCAGCCTTATTGCTACCTATTTCAATAGCCAGTAATGAAGTTTTATCTTTGTATCCTTCTAGCTATTATGTTCAATGGTTAAATCATTCACTCATCCAAGGTAAAAAATAATAAAGAAGTTTTTTTTCATATACTCTTGTATTTTATATGTATATATTTTTTTTAATTAGGATTATGGAGCTTGGTATTTTTATTTTCAAATCTATCTCTTTTTGTGTTCCTACCATTTGCATTTCTATTCAATGAATCTGAAGGATTTCCTGGCCAACGAAAAGTAATAATAAATTAACTGTTTTTAATTTATAAATGTATTAATAATTAATAATTCTAGGGCTTAAAAGCTAGAGTTTATGAAACATGTACAGTACTTATGTTGCTTTCAATATTTGTTCTCGTATTGACATATTTGCTATACACAGTATTTTATGCTGAACAATCAATATTTTACATGCTATTCAGTAAGTATTTATTTCTTTACTTTAGCTATTTAAAATTTATTTTTTTTTTTAGTATTTTGCATATTTAATATGCTGTTTTTTCTATTTTGAACTTTATTAACATATTTCAAGAGCATTACAAAGTAATTATCACTGTAAATTTATTTTCATAATAATTAATATTTTTTTCAATAACCATAGAATTGTAGATTAATCATCAATAAAATGTGTTATCTGTAATAAATATAATTTAAATAATAATTCTTATTCTAAAATAATTTTTTGTACGTTATGTTTATCAAACAACAAAAAACAATCATATGTTTACTTATTTTTATTATTTTTTTTGTGATATCCCACAGATTTATGGAACAATTATTTACCGTTTTTATACTCTTGCATTTCATTCATTGGTGTACTTATGCTATTAAGTAATTATGCTTTTATACAAAATAAGATTCATTGTATAATATTGTTTTATATTAATTAATTTTATTATATAGTATGCACTCCATTTGGGTTTGCTACCTTATTTACCATTTTAAGTCGGTTTATGATTAAACCACAATTACAAAAGACCACAGATGAAGAAATCAGTATTTTAAGACTCGAAGTTGACTGCATCAATAGAAGGTATTTTTATATTATTTAAATTAGGTCATGTACTTACAAAAATGTAATAAAAAATATTAATATTAACCTGTGAAAATTTATCTTATCAAATATTTATTTAATGTGACATTTATTTATTCATATATTAATTTAATTAAATTAATAAATAGCAGTTCTATATCACTCCGTAAAAGATTTCAGAGTGGGAAATAGTAGAAATTAAGCAAAAAGCTAAAAGTAAAAATATATATTATATAATATTCATATTTAATTTTTGATTTATATTAGATATTTTAAACATATTAATAAATTTTCTTACATTTTTTCATAGCTTATATATAAAATTATACAGATAGTTTATAGTCTTTGGCTCTAGGTTTTTTTTTATTGTAGCTCTGATTTTTAGTAACTTTAAAAACCAAAAAAAATTATTTAAACTCTAAATGTATTTATTTTATATTTAACATTTCCTTAATAAAAATTGCATATAAAACTAAAATATATAGTTTAAAATTTTATAAATACTAAAATCATTAATAGACAATACTATATAAATTATAAGTGTTAATTTTATAATTTATTTTATATTTAATAGTATATATTAGTAATAATACCTGTGAACAATGACAAAATATAAAAATTCTGACTACATACATAATTATAGAATGTCAAATTATATTCCAAAACAACCATAAGCAATACATATAATGTCATCAATATCATTATAATATTTTCCTGTTATTGTTTGATTTAAATGAAATTTCCTTGAGCTTATAAGGCTGCGGTAATCACTTAACTACCTTTCCAATAATACCTTATTAATAGAATTATTTAAATATAAATTATATGTTAAATTTCAAAAGATAAATTAAAATTAAATATTTTTTAGATTGAGCCAAGTAACAATGAATGGTTTTACATGCATGTCTCCAGAACCCATGTTAGAAGGAAAAAAACAAAATATAGTTTATACTCAGAAGGAATTGTGGAAATTACAAAATGGAAAACTAAAAAGTGGATTAACTGATAAATTATTAAATTATCAAGAAAGACTTGATGTACTGGGTAAATTTGATTTATATTTTAATTTATTCTAAAAAAAAAAACCTTTTATGTGATATTTTCTATGAAAACCACTTAAACTGTAGAAGAAAAATCTTTGTATAAGATAAGATATGCATTAAATACAAAATGTATTTAATTAGCTAAAATTTTAGATTACCTTTTTTAATATTTTAATGACTTTAATACTACATATTTTTCTAAAATTTTGTTAGTTTATTTTGTCTCTTTGTTCTACTTAAATTGATTCATTTATAGTTAATTAATATAATACCGATAATATTCCTTTGGATATTAATTTGTTTTAAAATATAAGATAATCTACTATAATCCAAATAAGAAAGAGTTTTAAATATAATGTCCAGATGCTTATCTAGTGGTATTAATAGAGTGTATCATTTTGTATTCTCGATGTGAAAATTTTTTCTTACATAGAATACAGTAAACCATAAGTAATATATAACAATTAAACCCATATTATTATTACAGAAAAACAAAGAAAAACTTCAGTATTCCGTAAGCTATTTTTATATCCAACGTTCATGCTGTTGTTGTTAGCTCTAACTGTTGTTACAGTTTTATTGGTTGTTCAAAATTTGATTTTAATACTTATTGGAATTAAAGCATTACCTCTAAATACTAGAGTAAGTAAATTACCCTTTAAATAAAATATTTATTTAAAATAAAAATAAAAATAAAAAAATTGTTTGTTAGCAATTTACCTTGGGTGTGAGTTCTCTATCAAAATTAGGACCTTTTGGAGCTGGATTGGAAATAGTCATCATTTTATATATGTTAGTGGCCTCAACTGTTGGTTTATATTCATTGCCTGTGGTATCTACTTATCGTCCATATATTAAACAAACACCATTGACACACATTGTGGGCAATTGTACTTTAATGCTTATATTAAGCTCTGCATTGCCATTATTATCTAGAATTTTAGGTAAGTTTTATCAACATTGTTTATTTATCAATATATTATTCTAATATTTGAATTAATTTAGGTATTACTGACTTTGATTTATTAGCTGATTATGGAAGAATTGAATGGCTTGGTAATTTTACAATTGTTGCACTGTATAATCTAGTATTTGCTACTACTGCTACACTAAGTTTATTTAACAAATTTACTTCGGCTGTACGAAAAGAACTTTTATCAAGGTAAATACATTAAAAATAATATGGTTTGGATACAAAGATTGGGTGTTATTAAATACTTGTCATTTTTTTCTTGAATTAAACCAATGTTTAATTATTATTTTAATTTAAAAATAAATGATAAATCACCAATTAAGAAAAAGTTCCTCATAAAAATGCATCGTTAAGTTATAATTACTTCTCTTTTTAATTATTGCTAAACATTTTCCAATTATATTTAAAATATTTGGAATTGAATAATTATTACTTTTAATTTTAATAAATATTGTATTTTGTGAATCCATTTTTAATAATAATTATTTAAATTATATAGATTTCAAGTATTTAAAAGTTAACTGTACATTTATTAAACAAAATTAAAATCAAAACACCTTTATATTAAACATAGAGTATAAAATAATAATGGTGACAATTTTATATATAGTTTATATATATATATAAGTTTATTTAAAGGTTTTTTTATTTCTATTAATTTTCTTGCATGTCAAATAATGTTTTTTTATTGTATTTTATATAATAATTTTATAATAATTACATTACAGACATAATTGAAGTATAAAAAATTTATTAAAAAATAAGAAGTTTTTTTTATACTGCTCATTATGTAATATTTTATACTATTTTACTCTTGTTCAAAATTATGCTATTATGATTCAGTCATTGTTAATAAATAAAAATAAAATCTTATTTTTAGACTAAAAAGTTTTTGGAAATGGATGATGGGCCGTGACTACAGTATTACACACCTTAATTCTAGTTTTTCAGTAGACAATTCACCGACGGTTGCTAAAAAAAATAGTTGATTCTATTATTCAAATTTAAATTATTTATAATTTATACATTGTTATTTTTTTTTTTTTTGACTATTTTGATTTTTTTTTTTTATCTTTCTATTAATGACTTATCTTTATTTTTTATTTTAATTTATTAAAGTTTACTATGTAAATACTATTTAGTAATATGCATCATACAATTACAATTTATCTATAATAGGTATAATTTTAACCTGACTGATGAAAATGGATGGATTTTGATTGACAGACTGATGTTATATTTTATTTATATATTAATTTTGTTTTATAAATACATTTTTAAAATATGAATCATGTTATGCAATTATATTAAAACAAGATTGTTGTATAATATGTTTTATTTTAAACAAATTAAGTGATTTTAATTACATTTTAAGCATTCCTTAAAAGGATATTTACCAAATTTTTTTTATATTATTTGAGGTGTTTAACAACTTTATGTTCTTCATTATTAAAATTTCATTTCATGTCATTCTCTTGTATATACTGTAATTTTTTATAGTATTAGACTGTTAATAAAATGTTTGCTTGTTTTAGTCGTAATTAAGCAATTATTTTACTAATAGTTTATTTTCTTAAGCATAATTATTGTATACATAGCACTAAGTATTGAGTAAATCTGAATCAGATAAATTATATAAATATTTTTCAAGAAGTCCAAAAAGTTTAAAATAATCAAAGTTTTATTTGTTTATGATTTATTTAAAAATAATATGGAATGGAGTACCTACTATTTATTTATTAATATTTATTTATGTTTTTTGTATAGATCAAACCCAGTGTATTAGTAATCCATTGTTTAATTTTATTCATTATTAACTTAATTTGTGATACTTATTTTAAATTTATTTTTAATAATTAAGAATAAATTATTAAATTATAAATCTATTTTCTTAATAAATTAAGAAAAAAGATTTTTTTTTTTCATGTATTTGATAACCATGAAAAATTATATATATTGGTCTGTCTGAGGTTCCTATATTCTTCATTGTTTTAATCTTGTGATTTCTAATTACTAGAACTTATTAAAACTTTTTGGACTGTTATTGTAAGTGTTTTATTTAGCCATTTTGTTTTATATTTATTTTTCTTTTGTTTTAAACTTATAACGTGTTTTATTGTTTTATGAATAAATCATTTTTATCAAAAATCTTATACCTTTTTCTTCATTCAATGCTTCTTTTGGAAGTGATGTTAATTACATTTATGTTTATGTATACTTCTTTTATGAAAATAAATTCTCTCTGGTTTTTCAATTATATTTAATATCTATGATAAATACATTTTAAAATCTTTTGTCTACAAATCATAAATTTCTTTGATTTCAAACTATTATCATTGAATAAATAATTATACTTAAAACATTTAATCAATATTGTTATTAAAATTGCATCATGTTTAATTATTTATGATAATACATTATTATTAATTTGCTATAGTTTCTTATTTATTGATTATTAGATATTCGTAACAAATTTATTTTTCAGTGAACTATGATAATATATATATGAACATTAAATCTATTCTGTGATTAAATCACTAGTGTTCTCAGAACTCACAAACAGAAATATTATTTATCTATATTTTGTATTTAAGCTTGATTAATTATAACAATTATAATATGTAACATTGGCTATTAATTATGTAACACCTACAAAGCTACGCAATTTTTGACACAGAACCGAAGGTATTATTTTGTAGCAATTGCTCTGTTTTTAATTTGATCATGGGTTAGTAGATATTGCCATACTGGATTAATACAAGTATATTTAATATTATAATTATAGTAAAACTACATAATTTAAGTTTAATAAAATAACTAATTAGCTATATATAAATTATGAAAATCCGTAAAAACATATAAGTATTTTCTAAGTATTATTGTTTTGGTGGATTTTATAAAAGCTTCAGAGAAGTGGAGGATTCCTTTATATATTTTTGTTCCTTACTTAAAATTATTTTATATTGCCACGGTTTTGAGATCGATTGTATATTATATTATTACCCTGTATAGTGTAGTTCATACGTTTTTAGTTCGTAAACCGATGAACAACACACACTATCCGTTTTGTATCATTATACGGTGTTCGAATAACACAGACCGTTTTATTCGTACATCCACACAGTGGCGGCGCGAAATATTTTACTTCATGAATCCTGTTAGGATTTTAGTTTAGTTGGAGAATGATGTTCAATATATTTATGTCGGTGTGAACAATAAGTGGTACTCAACAAAGCTTCGTTAGTTAAAAATAATGAGAAGAATAATTATCACGACGAAAGTAAATAAATAATTATCTATTATTATATTTGCATTATTATTTTTTGTGAAAATGACATGTATAAATTATGCTAGTCAAATTTGATTTGATATTTATTTAATTTTAAATAAAATAAGTACCCAAATGTTTGAACCTGGTACAAAATATAGCGTATTGAAACATATATATACAAAAGCACAAATTTCCCCATGATTTATTCCCCGAAATGTATTGACCTAGATGAAACCATAAAAAAGATTAAAAATAGGAAAATAACATTACGTGAAGTCACGGGACAAGGAATAGCTGGTCATCAAGGCTTCAATGGATACAACTGCCGAACTAGTTGTGCTACTAAAAAATGTGCTTGTAATAAAGCAGATATATTGTGCAGTTCAAAATGTCATGGTAACCAAAACGGTTTATTATTATTTAGCTATCTTTATGGCCTATTAATTTTTTTTTTCATACGTTAATCCAGTGTTTCCCAAACTTTTTCGACTCACGGTGCCCTTTTTTTATTTAAGGTATTTTCAGGGCGCCCTTCTCTAAGTCATAGCATGAATAATCATAAGGAAAATGTTAGACCCGATAGTGCTTCATGACGGCGCGGCACCCTTATACAGACATCGCGGCGCACACTTTGGGAACCTATGCGTTAATCAGTTTTTAAATATTATGATTAATTTTAATTATTTTTTATTTTTTATTCAATAACCTGTAGAAGTACAGCTTAGACTACCTAATATATAATATTATGTATCTATAATGAACAATTAACAGCGATGAAAATATAAAATATTTAATAAAAGTGAAATATATATGACTAATAAAAAAAATTAACAATTTTGTTGGGTTCGATTTATTTTATATGAATATCGTAATCGTATAAAAGGTACAACATTTTTTAAACACAGAAAGTAGAGGATGTTTTTTTTCATTTTCTCAAACTGTCAGGAGGTGTGAAAAGTTGTGGACTTCAAATAAAATACTCAGAAGATTCAGAATTTTCTTTACGGGTTCGCATGTTACTATTATATTACGAATTGTTTTCGTATCGTAATGTATCGAAATAATAATTGGAAAATTTTACCACAATAGTAATAATTTATTTTAATAATATGTTATACAATTATTTAACATTATTTATGTTATTTTTTTGTATAGTATAATATTTATAACTTTGATGATTTATTTAAAATTGGAAATTATAATTTTAGAAATATTTAAAAAATTATGTGTTATTTTATCTGACGCTGTAGTATGCCATTCAATAACGTCTAATGTGCAACAAAAGGCACACATGCCGCAGATTGGCCACCCCTGCTATAGAGTACAGTACTTGTTAATAATAATTAAGAGCACCCACTGATTAATATATATGAGTATCCAAACTTGGAGTAATTAAATGAACGGTTTTTTTTTAATTTTAATTTAAAAAGGAATGAAAATTGTTGTTTACAGTTGATGACACAAAAAACATCCACTATATGTTGATTTTCTAGGTCTCGTTCATGTAGAAGACAGAAACAATGAAAGCATTTGAATTATCTATTTAAGTTGTACAGTTTTAGACATTATGGTGGTACATAGTAATAGCCGCAATACAAATTAGAGTCAGATTTTTACAAAACTGTTTATGTGTTGACAACTTATAATTACTTCGACATGCAGGGCCGGCGTTACCTTTTGTGAGACCCGGGACAAAATTTATTTTACCCTTAATAATAGTCAAGCTTGACGAGAAGGGAAGAAAGGGATTATTCTCTCGACCCGAAATTTTTGAGAGGGCCCTGAAATTAGGGACTACAAATTATTAAAAATTAAACATAATTAATGATAAGAATTTAATGAACACTACTGAAAAAATTAAGATATGCCCCGGGTTTCTCTTTCCACGCAATGCCATTCCTAGATTTTGCGAGGCCCTGGGCATCATTAGGATTCGAGGTTCTACAATATTATATCGAAATCCATTGATACACCAGAATAGCGGTCCTCAATCCATATATCTATAATCTATTTATACATGGTATGTTGTTATATATATTATTGTATAAACGCGAGGCCCTTGGAGGCACGAGGCCCTGGGCAAGTGCCCCGTTTGCCCTGCCCTATAGACAGCACTGCCTCCACGGCCCTAACAATAGTCACCTATAACCTGTAGGCCACAATTAAAGGCGATAACATGTAATCAGAATCGGTGACAACTGCATGCGATATCGAGCAATGACCGATTATTTAATTAAAGAAATTAAGAAATGCAATAAAATAAATTTCTTATGTATCCCGGTTTCCATACTGTGCGGCGTGCCGCCGTACGGGTGCATAATAAATGTCATAATCAATATAATATTGTTGTTTTTTGGTTTTTAACCTGATAGGGGCGTATTTCGACTTACTAATAGGGGGGGGAATCAAATTTTTTATTTTTAATTCAGGCTCAAAATGTACAAGTAAAATTTTTGGTAATATTTAAATCAGGCGAATCCTTAACATTTTTGGTTTTTTTTTTACTCTAATGCCGGGGATCCACTTAAAATCGACTTTTGTATAGTTTTTTTTTTTACACCTGTTTGTGTTTTGAAAGTTAGATTTGTGTTTTATTTGATATTTCACTGAGTTTTACCCGACAAAAAGCCCAATTCAGTATTCACAGCTACGTGTAATTTGATTTCATTATAAAAATGATCCACATTAAAAAAATTTGAAATGTTTATCTTACATGTAATCGATTCATTTAATATGGATTTAGAGGGGGATCGACTCCCCCCCTAAAATATGCCCTTGGAGCCACAATCGGTCCGGATAGGTCGTAAGTAAACAGCGGGTGCAAGCGGATCACGGTTATTGTTTCATTATTTACGGGTCGGGCTCGCCGACCGCAGACGAGTTTTTTAAATCTCCAAATGCAGCAAGACGTGAACGGACGATCACGGAGACGTATTTATAGTTATACGGCATAAGATCGAGGCATCAGCAAACGCGATCACGTAGAGACAAGTGCTCGCGCATCATCGATTGCATCCGGCTCGGGCAAGTCTCAAAATTACACGGTCGGCCCGCGCGATAGAAAAACGTGTTCGACGGGTGGCGGCAGGGGTCGACCGGGAAGTGCGATCGTTCTCCTCTCGTCGCCACGCTCCGGTGGATAATAGTAATAATAATAATAATAATCATATAACCTTGGCCCATTTCGCACGGCCAAGACCACGAGATGACCGGAGGGGGGGAGGAGAATTCGACGATCGACGGATCGACCCCACGGTCCGGTACCTGGTCCGTAGCCGTTTGGGAGAACGAGCGCACGGGCCACGCTGACCGCTACGCAGCGCTCCGGTCGTTCGTATCGACCGCGGTGCAATCCCACCGCCGCGACGAGGCCGGCAACCTGTTCCGCGGCGGACGTATCATAATTTCGCTTGTTCTTGTTTTCCCCGTCGCTCGGCTCGCGCACAGGGAACCGGTATCGCTCGCGCTACGTGCAACGGTGCAGTGCAACACTACGACATACTCGTAGACGACCGCGAGAACGGTTCCCGTCACCGTACAGGCCGCTTGTTCCGCGCGACACGCCGCCGCGATTTGGTTTTCATTGGTCGCGGGGAATCGCTGTCCGCACTGTGCATCAATATTTTTATCGGTCGCTTTCCTTGCACCTAAAACCGTGTGTTAAGTTTTTACAATAAAATATTTGTTCAACAATTATTACTAGTCTTATCCCCGGAGATAGCGTGTCCGCTAGAGTGCGTCAACGCGTGTGTGGAATATTCCTTTGTTTACCTGTTCGCTTGCCCCATAGAGTCGTATCCCCCGCGGCCTCACAGCTGATATCCCTTGTCCCCGTGTCAATATTTTGATTATTCGAAGAAAATAAAAACCCGAAATCTCCATATTCAGTTTATTACTTTTCCGCAGACAACTTTTCGTAGGTCCGACATGTATCCGTGAGATAAACGAAACCTATCGTGCGTGTCTGTGTTTTCACGCATTAACCATGTCCAGTAAGTTCGGTGATGGCCGGTGGCTGATCCTTGTGGCTCTGCTATTCCAGTTAGCAACAAAATCCGAAGGCAACTGGCTCAAGAACTTTGCCAAGCCGAAGCCACAACTCAGGCTCATGGAAGGCGTCACAGAGCATTTACATAATGTCATGCCATACGAACAAGTGCAATTTAGTAATCCAAATGTTTCAACAGCATACATTAGCTCTACCAAGTTCCAGGCCGCTGGAATGGGACATCTGTATTTCGTCACCAACAAGTTTATCCAATACATATTGAGTGATCAGGCTTTTCCTGAAGGTAAGATTTTTATAATTACATTAATTCGAATTCTATTAACTAATAATGTCAACTGATACACTATTTTTCTAATAAATACCTCAAAAAATAAATAAATAAAAATGCTTTAAATGAATGGAGTGAATTAAGCCATTTGAGCTGTGTAAAACCATGATTTTGTTTCTGATTGATATTCTTAAGATAATTATTGATTTTATTAAGAACGATTGCACTATATTAAATATAATACTTCACAATTTATACATACCTAGTGTTTGATACGTTTTTACCACTGATTTAATCATTTAGTTATTAATAAATATTAACAAACATTAAATATTGCATAGGTAGATTCTATTTTTATTTTTATTTATAATTCCAAACAGAAGTAATTGAGATAGATTTAATCTTCCATTAGTTTACATAACATTAATTTTATGGTTGAGAAGTTACTGTAGCTATCTGAACCAGACCTTGGCATTTATATTATTTTTATAACATTGAATAATGAAACTATTTTTTATTTTGTTATTATTACTTATTTTTATTCTGTTTATAATTTTATATATAGGTAAATCAATAGGTGGTTATAAAGATTTTGAGGTTCTTGAAAGATTAAATTCTGATGCTAATTTGCTAAAAATATGATTTTATTTTTAAATTTAAATAGCTTATAGATTTAAACACATGTTATAATAAATAATATGTATTGTTTATTTCTATATGCCTATATTATATTTTACAATATTTACATTTATCATTAGTGTTGCACCTCATGTTATAAATTTAAAATATACGAAAACATGAACATTGACCTTAAACCTCCAAATATACATTTAGGTACATGTATATTGTCTTTGGTAAATTATTAAAAATTTTACATTTATTTATTTATTATTATTTAGAAGGGAAAATTACCCAGTTTCTATATAATTTTATTTATAGTATACAATTTACATAAGAAAAAAAATGATATTACAGTTAAGGTAAAATTTTAAACATGGTTTGTATATTGTAAATTGGTTTCCTAATTTAAATGCATCTAGAATATAATGTTGAAATGTTTGAAGATTTGTAGCTGTAGGTCTACCTCATATAAAGCCTTGTTGTTCTTCAATAATAATCTTTTTAAATAGTGGACTCATTATTTTAGTTATAATACACTCAAAAATATTTGGGATAACTGAAACTATTGAAATCGACAATAATTTATTAATTAACAATATCGCCATCCTTGGATATGGACAACACTTAGCTGATTTTCCATTTGTCTGGAAAAATACTAGTTGATAGAAACTTATTAAATAATATAAATAGTGGTATAATTAAGAAAAATTATACATGAAAATATAATATGTAAGCAATACATATTTAATAAAATAAAATAAATAAACATCTGGTGTACACAATTTCTTGGGTAAAAGATTAAATATATATAGTACTGTTTAAAACAATTTATCTCAAAATTAAATAAAAGGTAAATGGGTATTTAATAAAATCAAGATATTATTAAACCTTATGGCAAAATAAAATGCATTTGTGCTTTATACTATACAGTTAAAATTAAATATATATAAAAAAAATGATCATTCTTAAATCACATTGAAATGTTTTCCTACAATGATAAATCAATAGAATACAAGTAATTTTTAAGAAAAATAATACATAATATACACAATACACAAATAATACATTCAAAAACATAAAAAATTAGCTCCAATCTCTAAAATATACATTAATATGTAAAATAATTTTTTTTTTTTTATGAACTCTATTAAAAATAAATTGTCTAAATTGTTCATAATTGTTGTACTACATAAAGCCTATATATAAAAACTTAAAAATCTGCTCTTTATCTATAAGTAATAACCTTAAAAAAATGTATTAATTAGGTAATAAAATAAAATAAGTCTTAGGTAAGTATTTGTGATACCCTTTTTTTGTTAAAAAAAAAATAGATATTAATCTAGGAATATTAGTCTTAATATTCTTTATTTTATTTTATTACAGTAAAAATGTCTTGTCTTATGTACCAAAATTGTTTTTACTGTAATTATTTACAATAAGATCTCGGTTAAGATAAATATGTACATAGATATTTTTAAAAGATTAAATTTGAGTAAAATATGAATAAGCAAATTTATTTGAGTATTAATAATTTAATTGTTTTTAATATATTTTGATAAATCAGAATTAAATTAGGTTAGGTAATTTAATAACTTTGACTATGTTTTCTTTTTAGTTGAAATATGGTATAAATCATACATTTTCCATTATAAAAACTCTATTTTATTTATACAAAATATTTATCTGTATTCCCTCGCTTATTTCTAATAAGCAAAATAAAATTTTGATTTACCTTATAATGTATCAATTATCTAGCAACACTATATAGTACATAGGACATTTGTATTTTTTTTTTTAAAAAAACATTCTAAACATACACCTTAAGCTATTCAACTTTGATTTTTATTTCTTTATTGAAGGAAAATAAATACTATGTGTATTTAACTATTTAACTATTAATATACTAAGATTAAATCAACAGACAAACTCATGTGTTCATTACATAAAAATATATCAACATTTATTTTACTCTCGAGCAAAGTCGGGTAGGTGGATATTATTTTGTTCTTATCCAAATGTCATGCCTTCGTATTTTTCTAGAAGTTGTTAAGTGAGCCAAGATAAATTAGTGGTACAATTTATATTCTTATATCAGTATCCAAACATTTTTTGTTTATTAAACTAATTATCTAATGGAGTTTAACTAAGAAAAAAATATTTTTACATTTATAAATATTTCAATTTTCTGTAAAATAATATATTTGTATTATAATATTAAAAAGTAAAATAATTGCCATAGTATTAAATTTGTCAATTGATACAGAGAGCAAATGTAATTAGTGTAGACTAGAACAACAAAAATTACTAGTGATTAAAATAGTAATGATCCTTTTTATGCAGTATGCAAGTTTATTATTATTAATTATTAATGTAAGATAGAGGATTACATAATAACATGACATTTTAAAATTGTTTTTAAAAATTATTTGGGTATAATATTATTATTTGATACATTTTTTTAAAAAATAATTGATTTAAGTACTTGATATAACAAATCATTATATAATTCATCAAAAAAAATAACACTTAAAAAACTTAAATTATTTCAATACTAAAATTTCTCTGAATAAAAAGTAAATAATAAACACTTATATTACATGAATGTACATATAAAATAAATATTTTAATTAATTTTTATCAGATAAAACCATCATAACCATCATTACCATTAGGTATGCTGTAGACAGTATTTTTGTTCTTAAAATACTATACTTATCTAATTTTTCACTTTTTTGATTCACTTGTAATTGAGATTTTGACAACCCACTACTTCGCCTTATAGCTTTTAACCATTTTAAGTATCGATTTTTCCGTTCCATTTCTGTTGTTGTAGGTTCTGATATTTTTAGTGGAGATTGATAATTTCCTAATTCAATATTTATGGCATGTGCTGCTGCCTTGGCTGAGCCATATATAGCCATGTCAGTCATTTGTGACCTTTCTACTTCTATTCCCAAAATATCTGCTTGATAATTTAATAAATTACTGTAAACAGAGTATGGACCGTCAACAGTTAATTGATACGGAGTTATACCTGTATCTCTTTCAAACGCAACACATACATCTTTAGTGTGAAAACATAATGATTCCAATGCAGCCCTGATTAAATGGTTTTTGTTGGTATAATGAGTTATACCACAGATTATACCTTTGGCATCTGGTTTCCAATGTGGTGCTGCTAATCCATTAAAAGCCGGAACAAAATATACATCGCTAGCATTTATATTTAACAATTTTATTTCTTCATCAGTAGCCATAATTTTCATATTATTTCTTAGCCATTCTATTGCTTTACCACCAATTGATGTCCAACCTTCTAAAGCATAAACAGCTGGTTCATTATCAATTTTATATGCTACTGTTGTTATTAAGCCATTCTTAGATTTTGTAAATTCTGTTCCTATTATACAAGACACTATACAACTATCACAATATCGGCTCATTATTTGACCGATTCTTGTATAGTTCAATCCATACAAAGCAGCATGATGATTAGCAAATATAGATCCAATTAATAAACCTTTTAAACATGTTTCTTCTATTATTCCATATTGTTCAGAAGAACTTTTAATTGTAGGTAGTATTGAAATTGGAATATTAAAAAACTGACAGGCCTTTAAAGACCATTCACATGATTTTATATCCATTAATAATGTACGAGAAGCATTTGTAATATCTGTTACATACAATTTACCTTTTGTAAGTTTCCAAACTAACCAAGTATCTAATGTTCCAAGTTTAATAGTTTTCATAGTTAAAAGTTGTGTTATATTACTTGTATTGTCAATGATCCATTTTAGTTTAGCTCCACTGAATAATGATGTTACTCTTAAACCAGTTATGTCTTCAATTTCTTTAACGATGTTTAGATTTTTTGATTCGTTTTCTTGAATAATAGTGTCTGTACGTGTATCAGTGTAATGAATTGCATTGTAAAGTGGTTTATGTGTTTCTGAATTCCATGCTAATACAGTTTCCCTTTCATTTATAATTCCAATTATTTTAATATTATCTTTTGATAAATTTATAGATTTTAATTTTTCTATTACCTCATCAATTGTAGTACATAAAGCATCCCAAATATTTTCAGCATTTACTTCAACCCATCCTGGATTTGGTTTAATAAGATCAATTGGTCTAGATGATTCCAATAAATTATGTCCATTTGTATTGCTGAGTACAGAAAATTTTACTATGTGAGATTCAACATTTATTACACCAATTAATTGTTCATTGTTCATGTTGATCACTCGAGGTGACAGTTTTCGCTTAACTTCTAACTTGGAGTATTTTACTACACTAGTACACTATATAATTTAGCATTATTATATATAAACGTTCATGAATTATGAAATAAAGCAACTGATAGTGTTATACAAAGAATTACTGACGTATGTAAATCGATTGTGCAATAAATATAGGTACAGTTCTAATTATATCGGTTCAAAATGATTTACTTTGTAATTATCAGAACTAAGGTCAACGGTGTCAACATTTTCCAAAACGAAGGATGGTACTTCTTACAAGTAGTAGTAGTAGTAGTAGTAGTAATAGTAATAGTAATAGTAGATACGACAAATCTCCTTTTATTTCCTGAATCCAAAATAATCGACCTTGAAAAGCGTCCGTTTCATGGAAGATATCATTTTTGACTTTGCGTATCATATGTAAACTTACTTATCACTATTATGTTATCAATTACATTGTTGAAATATAGAAATTATATTATTCATTCAGAAATTTAAATTTTAAAATTTAACTAGGTAATTTGTATTGATAACTGTACAAATGTTAGATGTAATGTAATTGCATATAAATCATCAATGTTTAATAAACGCAAGGAAATACAATATTTTTTCAAATCCTAAATGATATACCTACGTACCACACTTGTTTAGTGGTGCTACTGCTTAAGGTTTTTTTACTTTTATCGTATTTCTGATTTCAGCCTTCGGTATTATGTATGTAGTATCATACATTATTATAATTACTTCATTGTTTACAATTCTGTGTTAGCAGGTTCTGATATTATAGTATATTTATATCACTATTATCAATATTTATCATAATTTATAATATTACAATCTCAATATCTATTTTGGATGTATATAAAATCTAAGTAGATTTTTTCGGTGATTTTTTTTAAATTTTTTCGGTAAATTTTTCTACTTTTATTGATTTTTTTGTATATATTATGTATAAGATACAATTACAATAAATAACATGATAAACAAAGTAGTTTATAATCTACTGAATATTATAATTACTTAATTTTATTAACGTTTAGAAATATGATTACTATTTTAATTGAGAATACCTATTACATTATCAATTGCGAAAGAAAGTTCTTACAAATTATTGAACACATCATGGATAGTTAATAAAAAATTAAAAAATAAATATTATTATAGATGTTAATTAAAGTGTAATCAAATTTTTAGGTTTTTCTTATTATATTATTATATTAGTCTCATTAATTCGAAAATATATTGCTTAAACAATACACGTTATTCACTACTCACGAATGTATGAAATTTGGAACTATGTAATGATCCTGAACACTAAACTGTTATCATTATTATCAAGTGTAGATAATATTTTTCGTACCCGTTAGGAACAGTAACGGTGTTGTGAACAAAAGGTTAGGTATTTTATACTGATTTTTAAATATTTTATTTAGTCTGTGCTATAATTTGGTATATATAAAAATATAAAAAAATTATTATCATTCGTCTAGATTGGAAACCAGATCGTAATTTTGATGTCTATTAATTGTTGTTACAAATTATGTGTTTTTAACAAATTAATCCAAAATATTTACAAGATTGCTGAAATAGTGTTGTCAATATATTTGACATTTCTTATTGATACGAACAATTTAACTTGTTTTTTTGAATTACTAATCATAATTTATATATTTTGTATCTATAAATGATCCTATCATAATCGATATTTGTAATTAATATTTGTAATGCAATTATTTTATGTTTTAAATCCGTGATAATACAAACGTCGGAATATAATTTATTATCTTTGTATAAGTATGTAGGTCAGTACCATAACAAGCTTTTGCGAAGCTCAAGGAAAAACGGTATAATTTCCTTATTCCTAAATATATTTAATTATTCTTAGTTGACAAATTGTGGGCCCCCGAATTTATTTTCGTTGCGAAACCCTGGGCAATTGCCTATTAAATTATGGAACCAACGAATTGTTTCCTTACTAAAAAAATTCTGATTTTCTTGTTTCTTATACAATTATTTTTTATTTGTAATATTACATATCTCATATTTTTTTTTAAATTTAGTTAAATTTATTTAGTGTAAATTTGTTTTCAGAAAACCTATCGATAAGTGCAATAAAAATAAGTATATAATATAGGTATTATGAATTGATTTTACATTCATTCTTTGAGCACTTAAATAATTACTTAATAAGTTTTATTAATATTGTCTTAAAATGTTTGTGTAGGTACTTATTTACAATTATTGGTTTTGATTTTAATCATAATGATTATTTATAACATTATAACAAACACATTTTTGTTCTTTAAAATTATAGTTAATAATTTTCATAATTTTTGTTAATTTGTAAAATCTGTACTAAGCTTAGTGCTACACGCATATTTGATGACAAGCAGATTAGCGTTAATGACTTAAGAGAAGCTAAGGCAATAATACTATTATAAAATTTATATTATGTTTACTTATTGATTAATAATGGTGATTCGGCATTGCAGCTGTACCGCTGTGTCAAGTAGTCTAGAAATTATTTTATTACCTATTTCTCAATTAAATATTCCTAGAATTTTAAATTTTTAATCAAAAACGTAAATTCTGCTAGTGAAATTTTCAAGATTTTTCTATTATTTCGTTTTTTCACATGCCGTTAACAGCGATTATAAACAATGCGAAGAATGACTAATGGTTATACTTTTGTTCCAATCTGTTAATGATGTAGAAATAAAACAGCAAGATTGCATTGTCACAGATTTAGGTAAAATTAGAATATTTTTTACGTCAAATATCTTATATTTTTAAATATTTTTTAAAATCTCAACCAAAACTTTCTAGAACTAGCTTATATAGGTATACTATATTTATTATTTATTTACACTTGTAATATCCATATCACCGGCATCATTTCAGTATTTTCTAGATTAGGGCAGTCAGCATGCTCTTATTAAATTGCTGACTCGGCTGCTCATTTTACCAAAGTGTGATTAACGTGGGGAAAGAGGGACGTCAAATCAGTCCAAAAATATAATGATTTATACTTTGTACTTAAGTACTCGTATAGTACACATCTCATTATTCTTATTTACAACAATGTATGTTAATGGCTTTATAAAAAACATATTCGTATTTTGATGTTATGCCGACTTTGGAACTGCTAAACTTTAGACTGTGAAAAATACATTAGTTGCTCCTCTTCCCTCTCCCAAATGATGCCACTGCTTTCGATTATTATTTCGTTCTTAGTTATTTAAAAATAAAAATATACATAAATTCTAATTTCTTATTAAATATCTATAATTTTTCTCATAATTTATCATCTGTTAAGATTAATTATTCTTGATAATTCAGTTTATTATGCGTTCTGACGTTATTTATGAATTTTATTTACTCTATGTGTTCTATGTATTTTATTTAATTTCTTTTAATAATTTCTTTTTGAATTATTATTTCATTACTCTTATTTTATGCTGTAATTATCAAGTATTATGCTGTATACTTAGTATTGGTTATATGTTGAGGAAATAGGATATAGTTTAACATAACCAATTTATAACGGTATACACATGACGTTTTATTTTGTCTCGTTTATTGGTTGAGGTAATTTATAAAATAAATGCACGTACGGTACCTGTTAGCTACCGTCTATTCGCATGATTTCTTCCGTGTATATTGAACAAAAAATAATCTAACATGCTATTTTCTATTTTTTTTCCTTTATTGGTATTATTGAAACCAATTACTTTTATAGTATAATAACGTTATAAATATTTAATAATATTGATTTGGATGTTTGGTATTTGTATGAAAATCTTGCACATTTATACAACAAAAAAATTATGTTCAGTTGATCTTATTTCGGCCTTAATTATGCAATGGAATTTTGTGAAAATATATATGACTTTTGATCAGTAAAACAAAATACTTTTAAAACTGAAGTAATGTTATTTTTAAGTACATACAATGTACTATATAGAACTGAAGCGACTATTACTATAATATATAGCGATAGTTGTTACGGGTCGTTGGAGTTATCAAATGACTCATCGGGTATAACGAACTCCTATTTTTTGTATACCATCGGACAATCGTAATGTGGTATTATTATAACTAATATTTATATTTGCATTTTAGACATACGTTATTATCTAAAATAATTACAATTGTTTTAAATATTTCATATCAATAAATTGTGTAATATTATTTTCTATTAATACCTAGTAATCATTATGAATTATTATAAAAATATAGTCCATTAAAGTACCAAATATGATATATGTATATAAATTTATGTCATAGTTTAATTTTTTATAACAATAAATAAACCTCATTTGTTTAACCACCCGTCCAATCCCAAGCCAAGTGTTTATATATTCTTAAAAAAGGGATTCTGAATTCCCTTCCTCAAACATGTAATAAGAAAAATATTATGTAATTTTTTTTTTTTTTACACTGCTGTGAAAGGGGGATATTCATGTGAAAAAATATAGAACGTACCTATATAAATTGTTGAGATTTTTGTTTTTATACTTACTTTCCTTAACCTAATTAAACCTATTAAATTTATTATGATTAAATAAAGTTATCCGTGTAAAATGTTGATGAGATTTTTATAAATAATTATTAATTATAATATAGAATTATACTTATATGAGATTAATATTATATTATTAAACAGTTAATATCAATTATTCTACTCACATTATACATATTTTTAATGCAAATTGAATTTTAAAACGAATTATTCCTATAATAATTATTATAATTAATATGATATAGTAATAATAATTTGTATGTACATTTTACATATCGTAAATTGAAATAAAAGGTAATTGTAAAATGAAATCTATCTGGAATTCGGCTGACTCAGATTAAGGTCAAAACTCAAAACAGCTATTCGTGTTTCAATAAAATGAAATTCTATGACTCATTTCGAGGAGTGGACTGGGTATTAAGGGGCCAGAGGGGTTAATCAACTGGATCTAATTATTATATTTCAACTAATAAATATTTTTAGTTAATAGTGCTCAATTCATATTTTTTATATTTTTGTGTACAATAATGTTTTATACAAATTAATAAATAAAAACAGAAACATGAATTGTAATTGTACAAAATTGTAATTTTGTATACGAGTATATATAATTTGTATTAATATGACACTACCGAAAGGCGATTACTCTTTTATCTCCCTGGCCTGTCCACCTCTGCTCATGTCCATGTAAATTTCAACGACTAAAGTTCAGAAACTAAATTTTAAACCATATGTAACAAACATATTTTATTGACATCTTTTGTTATTCTTATTTTTGTTAGTGTATAACTTTGGTTTATTACATTTTTTCAAATTAGATAAATATTATACATTGATTATTCATATAGGTATATTATAATTTACGTGTGATACTTACGTATGTACATATTGAATTTACAAGTTATTTAAATATTTGTATACAGCAGATTATTTACCAACTATAGTAAATCATCAAACTTTCGACGAATAGTTAATTATTTGATTAGAATTAATTTCGCGAAGTATAAATCAAGCTGATAAATGTAAGTAGAGGCCATAAATTGATATTTTTTATTTTATTATATGGCTGTTTGTAATTTAATTGATATAATAATCAGTCGGAAATGTATGTGGTATAAATCGGGTGTGGCCAATTTGCGGCTCTCGAACCACATGTGGCTCTTGTTATTGTTAGATGCGGGTTATTTATAAAATTAAATTTTACTTATATTTTTATATCATAATTTGGATTTAAATTTTATAGGTTTAAATTTATAAAATATTAAATTATTTAAAATTTATCTATAAACATTTTAGCTATTGGAATTATTGTATTTATCCGTATGGCTCTCGAACCAACTCATGTTGGACACTCATGGTATATAAATTATAAAAATACCGTACTACCTAGATATTGTATTATATATTATAATATCCATTGTGTTTTCAACTCATGGCGTGTAATATGAAACTAAACTATAATATGATAATGATATTAAGTAACGGATTATTGTAAATACCATGGGAATTGTATGAAAATGTTAGCTTCTTTAATACAGTTTTAATGAAATTTGTATATTACATTTAATTCGTAACTTTTCTTTGAGATATCTTTTTTTTTTTTTTAATAATAAACTAAAAGTTAATGTCATAATCAATATTGCTATGATATTCATTTTAATGAATTTATTAACACAATACTCACTTAAAAAAAAAATAAAAGGTGGATTAACATAGAAGTTAAACTATGTATTTCGTTTTAATTTAATTTATAAAAACATTATTTTCTTGATGAACTTTTTGTCAAAATAATATTTGTTTTTAAATAAAATAAAAATAAAGTTAGATTCTTTTTATTATTTTTATAATTTTCATTATTTTTCTTTTTTTGTATTTAAATATTTATTAGAATTATAAAAATTAGATATTTTAAATTGAAAAATGTCTGTTTTATTTTGTTTTTGAAATAACTTTCTAGACCTTTATTTTTCTTTTCCAATTAATTATTTTGAATATCAATTCACTTTCATACCATTCACATGATAAGTTATAAATACATACTAAATAAAAAATGAATGTAAATAGTGAATGATTCAATTGATTAAATTGGAATTTATAGTTCAATTGGGAGAACTATATTATTTTTAAGAATAATTTCATAACTTCAATTTAGTTGTGTTTTAATCCTTCATACATATTATTTCATTTGACTATTAAATATTTACATGCTATTTATTGATAGAATAATTACTTATCAAGTGTATGCATATTATGTAACATGTAATACATTATGTACATTATTTTTTTAAACTATACCTATATTCTGTAGATACAGAAATTTTAAAATTTTTAATATAATTTAAAGAATTTCTTGTATTTCATTTTTATACCTTTTTAATGGCTGAATTTTAATTTTTTTTGGTGTTTTTACAATAAAGCAGAATAATTTTTTAATCCAATACCTAATACTAAAATAACTATTGAATTCACAATTTATTATTTAGAGCTTAATTGAGAAATAATGTTAGAGGTGGTACCCCATTAAGTTATTTATTATACCAGTAAACTGTAAACTAAATATTACATACGTATTATTTCTTCATATAAAATAGTTAAAGTTGTGAGATAGTGAATGTTGAGTTCAAACACCTTTCTGGGTAAGATAATTTTCTCACTCGTGGTAGCGGTAGTGTTAATTTTTTTTTTTTCTCGTGACGTTTAAACGTGCGTTGCCAATTTAGCCATGACTACTTTGCATGACAAAATAACGTAGTTTTCTAATGGATAATTCAGTTAATTGCCATGTTTTTTGTTGTTGTAAATGGATATGCACTACACAGGTTAGGTTTGATTGTTTATTTACAACTATAGTCTGTAAACAATGGGAAAACTTTTAACAATTTAGAATTAATAAAATTAGTATTCCCTAAATAAATTGGTTTTATTATATATGTATTATTTACTTTCTGGAATATGTCTATACCTATAACATGTTCAGTATTAATTGTTGTATTGTGACATATGAAAGTCATAAATCTCATCATAAATCTAAACATTTTAATTTATAAAATAGCTCATTTGAATAATAATATAATTAATGTTGTAGTATTTTAATTTCTTATAAATTTATATATGTATGACTTATAAAATAATTTATATAATTTTTATATTTTGTAGAATATTAAGTTATTATAATCTGATGCTTATAATTTATAACTTATTAAATACAAAAATAATATTAGTTAAATTTTATTAATTATAATTACTACAGCTATGTGTTTACTGTTTAAATTGCTCAACATTAGAAATGCCATTGAATGTATGTAGTGCGAACTAAAAAAATAGCAAATCATGCAAGTATTTATGTATTGTAAGTATATATATTGATAAATTATGCATTAGAGCATACATCCTTTTTTTTACATTTATGTTGTGTGACAAAACAGGATAAAAAAAGTTAATAAGGTTTAAGTGTTTGTAAGGTTAATATAAATTTAATTTATGTTGGTGGTTATTTTAATGTTACTGTATTTATTATTTTAGTTTTAATTTTAAGATATATAAAATTCACTCTAGATAAATTAGGTTATATATAGGGAGTATATATTTTTATGTTTAGTAACAGATATTTATCATGTAGAATATTTATTTTCAAAAACTGTTATTTAGATATATTTAAATTTTTGAACTAATGTGTAAATAATAACATTAATGAACATAATAACAGTTATTATAAAATATTTTAATAATAAATATTTATTTTTATTTTCAGGGTTTGTGGATGTTGAAGGTGGTAATACAATCCAAGTAGATTATTTATCTCAACAATGGCCAACGTTAGTAAGCCATTATTGGGCAAGTGCTTCTGTATTAGTTGCTGGATTAGTATTTGCTGTTTTAATGCCTCTCATTGGTTTGACGTTATGCTGTTGTCGCTGTACTGGAGGTTGTGGTTCTCGATCTCAACCATTTGATGCTAAATATGACTCATGCAAAAGACAATTTTATGGGATTATACTAGCTGGACTTACAATATTAATATCGTAAGTTTTTTTTTAAAATTATTTAAGATGTATATAGTGTATTAAGTATGATTATTATTTTTTTATTGAAAATAAAATAATATTTTATGATCTATAACATATTTCTTGAGAATACATTTATACTTCTTAGTTTTATTGTGAGAATTTTGATCTATAATAATTTTTTCTATTTAAAATTAAAGTTTGTAAAATAGTAATAACTTTTTAATTAATTCTTTAAATTTTTAATAATTTTAATTTATATTTTCACTTTAGATTCAACCTTTTTTCAAAATAGTTTTAACATTTTAACAATCAATTTTTCACTAACAGTTTTTTCTAATACTTTACCAATTTTATACTTTATAATATATGATAAATGTATCTCTTAATAAATATATAATTTGTATTTTATTGTTAATGTGCTTTATTTTAGATTTGGTGTTGTTTGTACTTTTGTGAGTAATGAATATTTAGAAGACGGTGTCAAAGAATTACCATCAAATGTTAAGAAATCTTTAAATGACACAAGGTTATTCATAAACAATACAAAGAAAGTGAGAAATATATTATTATTATTTGTTATTTAATAAAAATATTTTTAATATTATTTATATTTTAAGGAGGTGGATAATCTATTAGTTGTGAATTTTGATGAGTTGGAAGAAACATTGACAAATATATTAGAAGGTACGCACAATTTTTAATCAAATATTAATCATTATAATTATTATATTATATTAAATTATTTTTGGTTTTTATAAAATTAAATATATGTTCCTAGTTTTTGTTATCTAAATATTAAAAATACATTGTATTGTAGATATATAATTTTGTAGTATAACTATACTGAATATTTTTTTAAAAATGTTTTTCAGCTAGTGGTGAAATAGTAAAAAAAAAACTTGGAGATGTTTCTAAAGCATCAGTTTTAACTAATTTGACTGCTGTTGTCAACGGACTAGATCTTATTAAAGAAGATCTTTCTAATGTGGATTCTTTAACTCGACAATTACAGCAAACTGCACTACAATTAGATATTGGTAATATATTATTAATCCTTCACCATCTTAACTATTTTCATTGTAATTATCACTTATTTGTAAATAACAGTAGTTTATCATAATTATTATGTAATTGTTTTAGCTTTAAAAGAATCCCGAATAACTATAATGAATAAATTAGATTCATGTAGATATGAACGTACGTGCCGTGAAATTTTAAAACGGTTTAACATCCAAGAACTTTCTTTAGAAGCAAACTTTAGTCAAGTAAGCAAAAATAATTTATTTACAAATTATTTTTATTATTTTTGATGATTATATTTTAAAATGTATTCACTTTTTTTGCTTACCATGGATAGATATTAGACAATGATATTCCAAAGGTAGGCTATGGTATAATTTTGGCCTTTTTAAATGTACTAGATGTTCTATATTTTAAATTTACTATCTATAAATTCTTGTGTTATATTTTTAGAATAATTAAGCTATTTTATTTAAAAATTTCAAAGGTTCATTTTTACATTTACCTAATATAAATATTTTTTGGTCATTTTTTATTATTTATTAAAAATAAATATTATTATCAGTTATTTTACTTATACTATTGACTTAATTTTTGAATTTACCTTAATGTTTCAAAGAGTTTTCTTAATTAAAATTGTTTAATTTGCAAATTCTGTTTTTGGTTTTTTAGTTGCCAGATGTAGCTGCTACCTTGAAAAATATATCTGATTTTATTACTGGTGACATTAAAGAAGAAGTAATGAAGGGACAACAACAATTTGAAAAGGTGAAAACAATAATACAGAATGCTGTTAATGATAATATACCTGAAATAAAACAAAATATAAGACAAGTTGGAAATGCAATCAAAGCAAATTGTGAAAAAGTTGATAAAGTTCTAAATCAAGTAGATACCACTATTGCTAATTCATATTCTCCTATGCAACAAGGAGAAGGTTTATTGAAAGAATTTTCTCCATATAGGTAATTAATTTATAAGAATTTATTCTGACAAATTGTATGAATAATCAATTAACATATATATTTTCTCTTTATTTAGATATTATGTTTGTTTGGGTGTTGCGATTACATTATTTTTGATTTTGATTTGTTTAACTCTTGGACTATTTTGTGGCTTTTGTGGTAGCCGACCAGAAGGTGGATACCATGATGATTGTTGCAATAAAGGAACAGGAGCTTCATATTTAATGATGTACTTTAAATATTATATTTATTGTATTTTGAGATCAAAATTAATTTAAAATTATATTTATATTATATTTTAGGGCTGTATGGTTAATGTTTTTGTCATCAGCATTTTTGATGATTATTGCTTTATTTTATTTTGTCACTGGTGTTACCACGGATCGTATCATATGTGAACCATTGCAAAATCCTACACCTTCAAGGGTTTTAAATATAGTCAATCGCTTATATGATGTATCTACAATTCATGATTCAGAAAACCAACAACCTCGTACAAGACTACCTCCAAGCAATACCGATTTTAATATTAGTTCTATAATTCGGTAAATTATACTAAATAATTTTGAAATATACACTTTAGAAAAAAATATAATATTAAATAATCTCTTAATTTATAGAGACTGTCATCGTAACATGAGCTTATTCCAAGTTTTAAAAATGGAACGACTTATTGATCTCAACAAAATTCTAGAATATCCGAAATCTTTTAGTATAGATGAACATATTGATAAATTAGTATCAAAAATAAAATTGGAAGGAGAAATAGTAATTTTAACATCTGAAGCTAAGAAACAACTTATGAGATTATCTAAATCCCCTTTATCTAGTATAAATTTTCCTGCTTACACTCATGTTGTAAGTTATAATTTGAAAAGGGTTTTTATCTTTTAATTTTATAATTTTTTTTTTTTTTTTTTAATTTAGCTTGGTGAAAAAATAACATCAATTGATTTGATTCAGCTTGCTGATGCACTAAATCAAACAGCATCACAATTGCCACCATCTAAAGCTGATGTATGTACATTTTTTGAATGAAACTTAAATTAAGACATGTTTTAGTATTAATTATTATATTGTGTTATAGATTAAATTTTCTTTAACAAACCAAGCATTATATTTAAAAGTACATCAGAATCAACATGTAGCTGGCATGCTGGATATTAGTCAACGATTAGAATCTACTGCTATTCAACTTCAAGAACATTTGCGATTTAATCATTCTTCACTACGTCATGCAGTTGAACATCTCTTAGTAGAAGTTGAACAAGCTCAACATTTTTTATATACTGAAGGACCAACAATAGTTACTAAAGTAATATTAATTTAATCTATACTCCAATCTCAGTAAATTTCTTACAGAAATATTTTTGTTATAATTGATGAATTTTATGTATGTTTTCATTTATAAAATTAATTTACTGCAAATAAAAATAATTTAAAAAAATTTAGGCAAAATAAATGAATAATAAATTAATTAATTAATTAGTATTAAGTAACAAACTTGGTTGCTTAAAAGAGAAAATATGAATTTTACAATACAAAAATACTTTTATCATTAATTTTTTGTATCTATATTGTAAAACAAATTCTATTATAGCCTTAAATTTACTTAAGCATCAATAATATATTTAAATTGTGGATTTATATCCAAAATATAATAAATTTGAGGATTTCTCTTATATACTCCTTTATATTCTTGTAAGTTTTATTTGTTATTAATAGTACATTTTTAAATTTTTATTTTACAGTTAGCAAAAGAATTTGGACAAGAATTTAATAAACATATTGATCAATATTTAGAAAGAATTGTGAATCAAGTAAGAGAAGATATTGGAAAATGTTGGCCTATGTCCCAGGCATACAATGCCACTATTGTTGCTGGATGCAAAAAAATACTAAATCCTTATGTAAGTATGAATATTTCTTTTATTATTTTATGAAATTGTAAAGAGATATTATTTCCTAAATTTTTCAAGTACAACTACTTTATTTTATAAACTTATCAATTTTAATTATATTTTTTTTTAATGTATAGAAAAATATAATTACAGTGTTGGTTTTATTGTCCCACAAATAATAAGAAATTTCTTTCTTTACATACATTCGCCTCATAAATTTTTTCTTTTAACTTAAAATAATATTTATAATCATGATGTGTATAAAAAAAATTAGAAAAATTTAAATTTGTTGATGTTCAAATGTTTATTTAAAAAAATACTATATTTAGTGTTTAGCCTCATGAGTTGTTTGGAAAAAAATATGTATTTTTATTGAAATAGAAAATAGTATGACAAAATAATCTTAGTAAAACTGTCTGCATAAAATTGTATTTCTTTAAATTTAAGTACCGAAATAAAAGAATTTACTGAATACTTAATGTTCTAATTTGTTTTATATATGAATAAATTAAGTAAATTTTATAAACATATTATAGTATACAACATTTATATATGTAACCAAGCTATATAATATATAATATATTATATTATATAAAACATATAGTAATGGTTATATATATTATACAATATGTTTCACTCAAATGGGAACACAAAATATTTCCTTCCTGTGACCTTGGATTGAAATAGGGTTTTTCTTCAAGGAGCTAGGGATTATAAAAATACACATTTTATGATCATTTTCAAATTGTTCCATTTATTGTGAGCATGTGTAATAAAACTTCCATTTTTTTTTTTTTTTTTATGGCAACACCTATTTTTAACATCAGATTTCAATAGAACTATTTTTTTTAAGCAACTTTGATAAATAATCTTTCTTCTTATCTCAAGAATTTACTGAATTATAGAAACCTGAAGTTTAAACAAAATATTTTTTTGCTAAATTTTTCAATTTTCCGTATTTTATTATTTTCATTTTATTATTAATTGAAAGTAGGGTATATGAAAAGAGATGATTTTAAAGGTTAATTAAATAAAATTCAAACATTTATTTTAAGTTTAAATTGAATTTAAATTATTTTCAATAAATTTACTATAAATTTACAAATCACCTAAAAAATTATTCAAAGTTTTTGCTATTGTTGAGTAAATATAATTGTAAATGGCACATGACTTTGTCATGAGAAATTGTCTATTTGTTCCATGGTCAGTGTTGTCCATACTTCGGAGATTTTTTGTTTTAAATGCTGTAGGTTAATTGATGAGTTCACATAAATAACAGTTTTTAAATGATCTCAAAAAAAAAAAATAAAATAAAGTGGTGTCAAATACCTATAGATAGTGGTTCCGTACTAGATATGTCACATGACTCATCAAAAATTACAGAAAAAAAATAATATCTTTTTTAACGTCATTAATGTTTTCTCTAACTATATCATTACATATGTGATGAAATTGACTAGATAACAAGAAAATATTACTAAATATATTATATACATTAAATTGTGAAGATAATAATATACTTGTAAACATAATATTTTATCATTAAATTAGTCTTATGTAAGCATGTTATTAAGTTAAATTTAACATATTATCATTATTTCATATAATAGATTTTAAAAGAGGGGAGGACAAATTCTCCGTTTTGCACTCTCCTCCGGATGTCCATGTTTCTATTATTCAACCCGTAGTTATACAGAACAATAATTTATTATTTATCTAACCATTAATTTAAATTATTTTTAAAAAAATTGAAAAATGTATTAAAATATGCATTTAAAATATTAAATCATAAAATATGCAAAAGTATACAAAGTAAAAATAGTATTATTTGTTATTATAGAATATAAATTAAATTTGTATCCAGATCCACATTAAACTGGATCAATATAAAAATATATGCAATTTCATAAACATCTGAGCCCTAATTCTAATATATCTTAATATTATGTGTTCACAAAATTATTTTTATTATTTTAGAACGGTTTTTGGATGAGTGTCGGTGTTTGTTCAATACTTTTCATGCCAATTATAATTCTTTGTGTAAAATTAGCTTCTCTTTATCAGAAATCTGATCCATATCCAGGGCCATTAGTTGAAGCGTATGTAACAATGTTTATTGCATAAACTAATTAATTAAATTATAATCTATAATTATTTTCATGTTATAGAGAATACCTGTATGATGCTTATGCAGACCGTGAGAATATTCCATTAGCAAGGTAAATTTAACATTTTTAGTTATTTTAGTTATTTTATATATATTGCTATCATCTAGTACACACAACTTTTAAGTAACTTTTATTGATCTACAGTAGTGATACTATTTACAGCTCTGTTATAAATATTTTATCATAGTTTTTCTTATTATACTTAATACTGTATGCTGTTATCAATGTATCTAATTTATGTATGTTCCATGTACTGTGTTACCCTGTAAATTGTCGTTTGGTGTAAATATAAATTTAAAAAATTTAAAAAAATTTTAGTGCAAATCACAAGAAAAAAAATGTACGAAACAAGCCTCGTAAAAAAGTTACTACTACTCCATGTGGGAATCGATCATCAAATATACCTACAGGTTATGAAAATATGTCTAACCCAGAAATAACTGGAAATTCATCAGCAAACGAGAGTCGTCATCCTGGACATGGTGGATCTGTAGATTATAGTGCACATCTTGGACGAGCTAATATTGTAGTACCTTCAACAAGCCCTTCAGGAGGATTACCTGAAGCCCCTCCAAAGTAAGCTTTAAAGCCATTAATATTAAATTTTATTTTAGGTAATTTATTAAATATTATATTTATATATAAATTAAATAAATATATATTATGTCAATAAAACTTATTTTTAAAATATTTATAAATACAGAACTAATGAAAAAAATTGATACTTTCACTTATGTAATGTTGTCTTAGTATTTTAATTATAAAATTACTTTTAATATAATAGGATTTTAAAAATTAAAATTTATATTTTAAATAATAATTTTTAAAAAAAAAAAAAACCATAATTTTATTGATTATTTATATTTAATATTTTAAGGCCAACTTGGGATTTCCCAAATGGTGGACCACCTCATTATCAAAATCCAATCTCATCTGAATATGAACGCCCACCGCCATATTATTATCCTGGTCCTTCTGGACCACCAGGGTGAGTATCATTATTGAAAATTATTACATATAATATTTATAAAAATTGATGTTTTTTTCAGAGCTCCGCCTGAATCTCAATCATCGTAAATGATCTAAAACTTCTTTATTCATTATAATTATAACCTTATAAATGGAGAACTGACTAAAATTCAAAAGTTGTGACCCCTATTTTTGTTTAATGTAGATCTAAAAATACATAGTTGACTTATAAGTGTATTTTTAATTCATCTGCATGATTGCTCTCTTTTTCTTGTAAGTTTTCTTATTAGAAATAAATACACATATAAATAAAAATAAAAATAAATAATTCATGTCGCTAATGCGCTCAAAAAAATCTCTATTTTCTATTGTATCATTCCTTTATAATATTGCCTTATGTATTCATTTGTGATCAATTATTATTATTATTATTATTATTATTATTATCATTAGTATATATTTTTTTGTATAATTTTATAATTCCAATTAAGTAGTCCACTTTTTCCAATTGTTATTTAAAGACTAGATGATAATGATAATGATAATTGAATGCATCATATATATATAATTCTCCTCATATTCTTTGTAAATAATATAAATTAAACAAAATTAGATATTTTTTTTTATTTTTTTTTATTTTTTGTAAATATAAAGTAATGTTTTATTCATTAACCAATAAAATGAAGAAAAAATAGAATTAATGCAATTTGTAAAAATTATTGGTCAAAGAATAATATTTAGCATAAATCTAAGTATTAGTTTTATCCAAAAACTGTTCATTATTCATTATATATATATTTTTTTTTCTGTGGCAATTTAATGTTAGACTAGTCATTTTGTGACAGACAAATAATAGATTATGATGTAGACTGTTTAATTGTACACAAACTGGTGCAAATATTATTATTTATTTTGCTATTTTAAACTAAACAGTAATTGTGCTAAAAGCAATTATATTTAAAAATAATATTATTTCATCTGTATATTATTTTTTTGGTAAGTTATAAATATTACATTATATTCATTATTTTAGACTAAAAGTAAACTACCCAGAATCTTTTTGATTCATATATGTATTATAAAAATTAACAAGCACAGTTATATTTAAATGAATATGTTAGTCATTCTTCTCTTCTATAAAGAGTTATTTTACCTTAATAATACATTGTGTGAATTTTTTTTTTATTCCTTTGAAAAGCCTGATTTTATAAATTATTTGGTAGTAGTATTTGCTAAAAATATACGTAATATTTTATGTATTTTATTATTTTATTGTATGTATTGTTCCCTCTATTAATGTGTATCTACTTATCCATTGACTCTGATGAGCATTAATTATCATGTAATTAACTAATAAACGTGAATCTTTATGTCTGAATTAAATTACATGTTTTTATTTCAAATTCTGTTATTCTGATATCAATTGAGTACATATTAGTCATTAGATATTAAAATTTACTATTATTGTGTTGTATGAATATTTAAAGTGCAAATTGATAATTTTTTTTTTTTAGATATTAACTATGTTTAGTTTTATCGAGTAATAATTTGTTCTTCAATTAAAAAACACGTATACGTAACAATTTTTATTTAACAATAGTATAAATTATATTCGACAAAAGTTGATGAAATTTTTAAGTGTGTAATTGATTGGTGATAAAATACAAAACCGACAATGTTTAGATAAAAGTGTTGTAACCCCATTCATAAATAAATGAAAATTAAAATGACTTATATACAAAGTGCGAAATCTAAGGGGGAAGTAGGTATGATTGCCACATGCGTTCTTGATATAAGGTTTATGAAAAATAAAAAAACGCCAAGAACATAACCCATACTTTCACCCACGTATTTTCGTGGTAAGTCGGTGGGTACTGCCATATTGAGCTTTATAATAATATATTCAATATTGTAACATGCAAGACCGCATCATCGGAGTGTAATAATAATAAATTAACCCATGCAAATATGTATGAAGCAAATACAAAATACAAATATTCGTACAAATACAGACATATTTTGTAAATACGAGTATTAAATTTTATGTTTTGTTGGGATATATATATATAACCACTAGTTGGAGTTAGGGATACCTTATATACATTTTTGCTTCTAGCCAAAAGTTAGTTTAACACTCCGTTGATTCATACTAATGTTATATGAAAATGAACCTACTCCGGAAAAGTTTGACATTGATTTCAAAACAATATTAACAATATTATTGTTAAAAATATGATACAGACAAATAGACAATAAATTTCACTTTTAGTTAATTTTTAGTATAGGTGTGCTAATTAATAATATTGTGTATGTACTCGTATTTATAAAGACATGTTATCCATTTTATATTATGATGTACAAAATATATGTTTAATTTATAATGTTGGACTAGTGGTTAATAGTTTTAATGAGTTATATTAGTAAATATTTAAATTGTCGACTGTTAGGTATACGAAAAAAGTTAAATTTCATATTAATTCTTAAATTCCCTTTTCAGAAAACATCGGACTTAAATGTTCATAATTATTAAGTCATTTGTCTAGTACTAGGAAAATATATAAATCTATACTTATTATTATATTACCTGAAAGTGAAATGAAATAGGTTAGGTTAGGTTTTGAATTTACAAATATTTTCCTTCGATTCCTAAGTTATTATAAAATATTATTATTTATTATTATTATATATTATTATATACCAATCCATATTATTTCATCGGATAAAAGGCAAGGATAAAATCCGCAATAGATGAATCGCAGGTAAATTAATTCTTAAATATGACCACTCCCAGTTTTTCACTATTTTCAGATTTTTGAAGACTTTAAAATTCCTGGAAATATATTTTAAAATCTCACCATTCTAATCACAGTCATTAAAATTCTTTCTGCTTTTTCAACAATAACTCACAATTCCTAATTTCGTTCCAAAATCAATAATCCGCCCTTCCCTGTTCTAATTTTGAATCCCTTAATGAGATCCTTCTTTTCAATTCTCATTCTTCTGTCATCTCACTCATCATTAATTACATTCTCAACGCAGATTTCCGTATTTATATTACTGTAATTATATAGTGTATAATGCAAATAACACACCAATTGTATATTGTAACATAAATAATTTTTAGTAACTGTATTTTTACACAAAACATAATTGTCACTCTGTAATATTTTTTGAATTATAGCAATATAAAAAAATAAAATTAAACAAAATATAAAATGATAGATTAAGGCTTGATTCACACCATAGGTAACGCAACGGTCCGATCACGGTGCAGTCTCAGTTCGGTCAAATAGTTAACTTATTTGAAATTGAAATGTTCACATTGTGAGCGTTATCGGTAATGTGAACATTTCAATTTAAAATCAATTAAATAATATTTGATCGAACCCAGACTGTAGCGTGATCGGACCGTTGCATTACCTATACTATAGGTCCTATAGTGTGAATCAGGCCTAATAAGAATTTTAGAGTTAGACGAGTATGGTTTTCCGATGAATTGAACCGATCTATTTAAAATGTAGTTATCGTGATAATAAAATATCAAAATCATTAACTACCTATTCAATGTTGATTCTATTGTTAATAATTAAAACCATCAATTTTCCCGATGTTTTCTACCGAAAATCTTTGAATCTCAGTTATTTATAGTTATAATATTTATTTTTCAATGAAATAGTGAAATAAATTCTTAATAGTACTTGATTCAAGTTGAGTAAAATCGACTACTCGTATTTACGTGTTTAACATTTTTTTGTCAAGTCAAATACTCAAACACGACTCAAAAAATGTTACATATCCAGTTACTTAAGGAGTACTTGCCTAACCGTTAAAAAATATATAATAAAAAATAATAATCATTAATGGCACTCTCTTTTCCACCAAATAGGTGAAACTAGAATTATACTTTTGGAGTTGAACAAATTGAAAAGATTTAAAAAACTTACTCCCCCACACCTTTACCCTAATATTTTATAATAATAGTCATTTCAATTGTATCTTTATGTATTATATTTTAAAATAAGTTTTATAAGAAATACAGATTCAAAGAAAATAGCATTGTCACAACTATTTTAACATGAATTTTTTTGGATTTAAATTTTGTTCGTTTTTCAAATAATTTGTGACATAATTCTCGATATATTTTAATATTGATGAATACTGATATTGATGAAGTGTATAATTTCATTTTTCATAGTTATTCATAACTATATATTTTTTTTTTATTTATTTATTGTTAGTAAACTAATTTTTATGCGTGGGTTGAACAAACATAAAAACATAATTTATTGTCTGCAAAAATGAAAAAAAAAATTAAGGGAATTCATGTCGTGATCGACTTATTGGCCACAACAGCAACGGTTCCTAATCATTGTGATGCCGCGACCCCTTATAATGTCACTAAGACATTGAGCGACCATCATGGGCTCAACTAGAGCTCAAATATTGGAGGTGCTGAAATTGCTGAAAATAATACTAAATGTGATTTAACTGTAAATACTATAGATTATATAGATCTGAAAAAAACAGGAGTGTTACATTTGTACTCAGGGGTGCTAAAAACCCTATAGGGCCTCCCTAGTGGCGCCTATGGCGACCATTTTATTATAATAACATTATTAAGTAGGTAGTAATTAATTAATATAACGTTTTTATTGAAAATCCTAAACTTTTATCAATTTTAATCCACCACTAAGATTAACTTGATGATATTTACAATAATACTTTACTAGTTATTTTATATATTGGCGACTCCCAGTTTGAGAATCGCTCATAGGCGTAACTATATCCTAAAGTTAGGGAGGCTTCAGCCCTAACATGTTTAAAATAAGTAAAAAATGTGGGGGACTCAACCCCCCACACCACTCAAACTCGTCCCTCAAATAATATTCATTATTAAAGTATAATATTATTTTATTAATATACAATGTATTAGACAGATAATAAAAAAAGGTGATATTGAGATAAACATTAAAATATTATCATATTTATTAAGTATTATTTTAGATACAAGTTAAATTTTCTTAAAAATTAAAAAATTTAAGGAATTTTATAGCTATTACAGCTTAAGCCTCCGCTCAGTATTAGCGCAAATTAATTTAAAATGTCTTCTTTGTTTAGAATGTTTGACAAATTTTTTTCAATTGCTATGATTGCTAACTTGGAAAATTCATTTGGTAATATAGTTGACCTTATGTAGATGTTTATTCGACGCATTGCTGAGAATGTTCTTTCACAAGATGCAGAACTTGTTGGAGCTGCAAGCGTTAAATGTAGCATTTTGTATAAATTTGGGAAAACAGATTTTTCAACGATACTCTTTAGCTGCTTTAAATGTTCCTGGAAGCCGATTCTTGAATTATGCGACAAACTTGTCGAAT